ATCATTATGAGCTCTCCAAATGCTCCATATAGTTGTCAACACCAAGTCAAAAGTCAACTTGGCGGAATCATGAGCAAGCTAAGTTACCCAATCTCTAAAACATACTGATGAATTATTAAACAAGAAACTTAATTAACAAATCTCATCACTTGAAATCCCATCATTTTTTTTCTTATATTATTTTATTTTCTTTTGGTTTCTATATTACAAATTTAAAAAGTGATGGGATTTCAAGTGATGAGATTTGTTAAGTTGTTTGAATAGTATATTTTGGTTGTAGAGTTTGAATGTGAGAGTTTCTAATACAAGAAAACAAAACACATAAATTGAAAGAAAAAAAAAACCATAAATAAACGTCTCAAAAAAAACATGGGCGGTCGCGAAATGAAAACAACGACGCAAGTGTGCAAGAGAGTGAGAGAGGAATTTGCAAGTAGCATCACAATATGCAGCTTGAGAAGAATGTCAACTTCCCACATTCAATTGAATGTTGCCAATGAAAACCAGCAGTTGCGAGAGTGTATTAGATGACTACATAAATCTAGCTAGCAGCCTAGCATATAACTCGAGAAACAAACAGCTTTACTTTAATCGATCCTTCACATAGCCTATGATCGATGCAAATCCAGGTGGCAATTAGCACTATATCAGTAGTATCCTTTTGCAAATTATAGAATGATATTGAAACTGACATTAGGAGGCTCAAAACAAGGAAGATTAACACACATGCATGATTGCACCTCCATTTCCAACAATGTCACAAAACAATTGCAAACATAACATTCCAAGGCAACTTATGCTGGAAAGTACATTTTCTTTTCAGATTGAATAAAAACCAATCATCAAAAGACAAGGGCTCCAAAGTTTCAGAACTTGAAGGACAACAAGGTTCTAATTTTAGGAGTTACGCGAAGCTTCCAAACGAAGCTCCACTTCCACTATCCAGCCAGTGTTAGTCATAATATCATTCCCTTACCAAACAAGCATATCCTCAAACTCAAAGATAGGTATAAGAGCTAAACGGGTCATTTTGGCCGACTAACTATGTGGTCATCAAAAGACAAGGACTCCAAAGTTTCAGAACTTGGAGGACAACAAGGTTCTAATTGCAACACTTTGAATTTGACTGGAAAATAACATGTTGGATCGGATTCTTAAAAAGTATAAGAAGAAATAAAATATAGAACCGTAATTTAAAAGAAAATAAATGTGTCAATTGAATTCTGAGTAGAATTTACAGTGCAAACGGAAAACACGCATTCAATGTCTCTATTACGATGGTTACAACACTTTTCGTCCACATCATATTTTGTAAGGGGTGTGATATCCACACATCCCATTTTACTTTTTACACACATTTTTAATTTTCGGCCGTTTGATCGGATGAATTGAAGAAGATCAACGGACAAAAATTATCAAGGGTGTGTGAGAAGTAAAATAGGGTGTGTGGGATAGCACATCCCTTTGGTAAACCAGTTCGATTCCAAGCTGAATGGTTGTTGCTTCACGGTCCTCCGAAGAACTGACAACCTGCACAGTTTTAGAATGCAATTAATGAAGATAAATTAAGATTGTTGTGATCGTTTTCAACAAAACCTCAAGCATATTCACCAAAACCAAATTGCATGTATGTGCAACTCATTTATGATTTTCCTTGGTAAGGCAAATGAAAATGTAGCATCACTTAACATTATAGATAAAAAGTTGCATACTTAATTAAAGTCCCGTCCTACGAACAATCTACAGGTTGGACTAAGCATGCAATTATTCATATACATTATATTCTCAGGTTGTTTCCATAATCTGGATATCATGAAGTTTTCACGCTCCGGAACAGAAAAATCTGTGGCACTAGTCACAGTTTATATGCTCTCCTAAAATTCTATCCCACCCCATTCATTACGAACACGACAAAAATAATTATTACAATTTTCAATAAGGAAAAACTTATAAAAGTTCAGGCAGCTTACTTTACAGCACCGTAACCAAAAGCCTCTGCAGTTTGATCAAGCTCCTGGTCAGTCCACTCTTCACCCTTACCTGGTTATGATTTAAAGAAATCATTACCCACTTGAACATAGGTCAAGGGATATCATACACGTTCAATAAGAACATTTTGCTACGATCCTTGGATTCATCAAGCAGATCAATCAATCGGACCACCTCACTTGGCTCCATCTTCTCCAATGACAAGACCGAAACCAACATGGGTAATTTTTGGTTTCAAGGCACCATCAGTTGGGTAACCTGCACGTTTAGCTGCCTGAAACAAAACACCAAATTAAGTTCATCCGTATCTGCATCGCAACCCTAAAATAATTATAACAAGAACATAGACCGGAAAATGCACGAACACCACAAATCAGGGTATGCAGAGACAGGTCACAGCTTTAGCAACGTACCTTCAGAAGCATATCAAAATGCTGTTGCTGGCCAACATCGGTAACATATATGATCCAATCAGCTTTCTCATCATTAAGGCGACACCTGTGCAACACATTGCAAGTAGAAACATCAGTAAGAATGAAAACTTGCTCTCAAATTTTCCAGTGCAAGCAACAACACCGGCTCTACATCAAACAGTTTTCGCCAACTCTCACTTTACGTTCACCAAATTTTCTTCTTCCTGAGTCGGAAAACAAGAGTCACAAAATCAGATACAACTCCAAAGGCCCAAACATTAAACACTCAAACCAACACTCACACGGACAAACACACAAAAATAAATATAACCCGCATTTGATCTCTAGATGACTACCAAGAGGTGTAACTTATAGCCGCCATCGTGGATACCGAGTGCGCCTTTGCTGCAAAAACAAGCTTTCTAGGTGCTGCTTTCAGTAATTCTGTGTAGTTTCACAATGACTACATTAAGTTGCAATAAAAGCTATGAATTTCGGAAATCAAATTAGCATAAACCCGAAAAGAACTAAAAAAAATTGGAATAATCAGCAAACAAAAAGTACAAAAACTGAATTTGCATTCATGAAATTATGTTTGGTTATTGAGAAGATTACAAAAGCAAAAAGAAGCATGGTAAAAAGCTGCAATTATATACACACACACACACACACACACACAACAAAAGAATCAACCCATTTCAATATCGAGTGTGAACTAGGGATGGCAATTTAATTCGTGAAATCCGATACCCGCAGTTAACCGACCAGAAGAATTATGTTTTGGGTAGCAAATTTCGGGTAACCGTTGGGTAAATTGTTCGGTTTCAAGTTCGGTTGTGGTTGTAGGAGTATCCGATCCGAATCCGTACCCAAACCCACCCTGTTTTCATTCTTTAATAAAAAATATAAATATTTATTATATATATGTTTTTATAAAAGAACACACCTCACTCTCTCTCCACGTTCCACTCATTTTTGTGCTCTGTGCCTCTCCATTCCCCGAGCACCACACACACGCGTACACACATGCAAAACAAGGACCACACCATCATCTTCTCTCCCTCATCCCTCACCTTTCTCTTCTTCTTGTGCTCTCTCCCCTACCTCACTTCTTCTCCGCAACTCTCTCTCTCCCTCTCCTCATTACACCCTCCTCAATACCCTCACCTCTCTCTAGCTACGCACACACGACACCACCACCCACACCACCCCACCGTCTCTGGCGAGCCCTCAAACCACACCCTTCAGACCCCACACCATCTTTGCAAGGTTTTCCGTTCCGTTGAGATTGAGATTTGGAGGAGGGGAAGCAAAAATAGCTTTGCTCTCTGATTAAGAAAGCTTGAAAAAGAAAAGAATTTAGTAAAGAGAGACTGAGCAAAAGCAGCTTTGCTCTGATTGGCAAAGCTTGAAAAAAAAGAAGCAGCTATGCTGCGTAGCAGTAGAAACAGAGCAACGGGGGGAGGATGAAGCCGCTGAACCAGTCCAGTTTTCCGACGAGGGGAGGGGTGTGAAGATGGTTGTGACTCGTGAGGGAAAAATTGGAACATCATGGGAAAACAAACGAGGAAAACTGTTACCCGATGGGGAATCCGTTATCTGACGGGTTCGGTTACAGGGAATATCCATTTGGTTTTTTTTTTCAATTTCGGGTACGGGGAAAACAAACGGGTTCGATTATGGGGATGTCACATCCGAACCCAATCCGCCTTGTTGCCATCCCTAGTGTGAACAGTAAAAGAACATCAACCTTTACATATATTATTTGGGCTTATATACTAATAGGATTTTTAGTACCTACGCAAATAGGGTTAAAATCATTGAAAATACTTGCAAGAATACAAGGTAATTGTAGTATAGTCACTCATGCAAGATCGTTGTCCCCAAAGATTGTTTGACTAATTCGTAATTAAATTAACTCTTAATTAATTATTAAAACAGATTTTTATCAAAGATTTGAAATTTTTGAATTTGAAAAGATTAAATTAACAATAAAAGAAATTTGGAATTTGGAAATAATGGTAGCAAAGAAGAAAAACGTTTTTTTAAATTAAACAATTTTGGAAAAGACTCATCAAATACCCCCAAACTTAGGAGAGTGTATTCAATTAGGATTTTGAGGGATTTTAATTCTTTTAATGAATTTAGGGGTATTCAATCAGGATTTTAAGTGATTATCTAAAATTCAAGGTGTATTTAATTAGAATTTTAGGATAGTTTATTAAAATCCTTAGAAATCTGGGTGTATTCAATTAGGATTTTAAAGAAGTTTATAACAATCCAGGTGTATTCAATTAGAAATTGATTTTAATGAATTTGAGAAAGTTGATGAATTAGAGGGAATTAGAGAGATTTCGTAGTATATTTTAAGCATCCACAAATCTCACATGTTTCCATGAGATTTCGAGGGAATTGAATCAAAATTTTATATGGAATCTCTATAAATCAATTAAACTCCATAAAAATTCATAGATTTATAAATCCATTAAAATTTCTCAAATTCTCAATTGAATACACTCCCTTAGCTTTTTGCTTGTCCTCAAGCAAAAACAATACTCAAAAAGAAAAATAAAACTAGCAAACTAAACTTCTAAACGAAAATTAACATAAACAACTTTTCACCTTCAAGTCACAATCCATAGAAAACGCTAAAAATTAAAACATTTTTCCGAAAGTTCCATCATTGGAAGCAATAATTACTGCTGATTAGGTAAGATTGGTCCGGTTACTAAGTAAAGCCTCGGGTGGAACAATTATTACTTTATTTATAACAATAAGTAACTTTACTTTACTTCAAACAAAAATTAAAAATAAAAATGACTTAGACAAAAAGTAGGTCTTCCAATCACACTTCCCACAAACCATGTTGGTGTGATTATGCAAAGTTTTCAAAGTATAACTCATGAATTAGTGTCTAAGCAAAAATAAATAGAAAAGATTCTACTATAGGAGTAATCTTCACCATGTCCATTAAGAAAAGAAACTATAAAGAAATAAAAGAAAACAGTAGAACAAAAAATGAAGAAAAGAAAACAATTAATAAAATAAAGGAAAAGAGTGCACCTGATAGGATTCGAAATGGTGACCTAGAGGCATGAAAAGAGGTGCTGGGCAAAGGCTGAAAAAGAAAACACAAATGTGCAGTCCTTGTGTTTCGAACCTTTGACCTGGTGACATTGGCATCACACATCTGCTTCGCACGTGGTAGCTCACACGGACACAAACCCTGAAATATCTCTATATAAACCGCATGTTAGCTCTACTATTCTCATTTCAAAAATCTGCCGTCTCGAGCCCAGATTTCTCGATCTCTCTCCAGCTCCGGATCGATAGCCTCCGCATGAAGGTTCGTCGTCTCTCTCTCTCTCACTTTTTTTTTTTTCAATTCGTGATCGAATTTTCATTCCATAAAATGTTAGATATGTTGCCTTCGGGAAGAAAGTTTAAACCTAGAAAAGCTTGGTTTTCAGGAAATCGTCAATCGTGCAGAAACCTTGGGTTTCCTGGTCAGTTCTCCAGCATATTGTTTTTGAGTTCTCTTTTATTTGTTCAAATTTTGGTGATTTTAAAACCTCTCGGTGGCTACAGATTTCATCGGCTATTTCATCAAATTTTCGATTCGATCAGGATCAGTTTTTTACCCACGAAATCTAGCGTGTTCTGGTGAGTTTCGTGACTTCTCCGTGTAGCTGTTTCGAATTTTGTTTTTGTGATTTTCGATGTCCACATGGTTTTTTTGTTTGAAATTTGTATTTGTGATTTTGCATGTTGTTTTGAATTTACAGATGGCTTTTCTGTTTCAATTTTGATTCTGTGATTTTGAGAGTTTGTTTATATTGTCAGATCCAGCTAGGGTGTATGATCAGGAGACCTTGCTGTTAGTTTTTGGGCTTTTGGTGTATAGACTTCGAAGGCCTTTGTGCACAAGGTAAATAATTTAGTATTTTCCATTGAGGATTTTGTTTTTACTTTTTGTATATTGTGGAGGTTGAATTTTGTATATTGTGAACGTTGAATCTGTGCAAATCCATTTGTTCTTAATTTTTTTTGTGTATTTGGAGAATGTTGTTTCCTTTTTTTTGTGCGTTTTAGGTGGTGTTGCATAAGTTAGTCTCTTTTGTTCTATGTTGTAAATGATTTTCATTCCATGTTATGTTCAGTTATGTTATTGCAGTATTGAAAAGAGATTAAGGGTTTTGGTTTAGTCAGACAGAGGGGGAGATAAAGAGAGAAGTGGTTAATGTGCATGAATGGGGGATGTAGTTCATTGTTTCCGAGTATTTGAATTTCAGTTTTTATTTTTGTGGTTCACCTGTATTCATTTCGGATTTTTTTTACATATTGTTTTGGATAATGTGATTGGAGCTTTTAAAAGAAAAATATAGAGGTTTTTCTTTAGCTAGAGAGAGGACGTGAATTGTGTCAATCTTTGGCTATTCGTGTAGACCATTTTGATCATGGGTGTATTAATCTATGGAAGATTTAATGAAAAGATGTAATGAAAACACCATGTTTACTCAAAAAGCATATTGATTCCAATTTCAATTTCTTACTGAAATGGGGATATAGTGTAGGCATAATATACAATAAAGACTATAGAACATGATAAAGAGGAAATCCTGATTAAGAGTGAGTTTAAAAGAAAAACAAATGAAAAAATGAACACAATGCAATCTCCTTTAATTACCTCTTAAACCCTAATTTCTCTCTCTCCTCTCTCTCTCTCAAATCCATTTTTCATTTTCTGAAAAGGGTTCAAGAGATATTGTCTCTTTGTGTAGTGGTAATCAAAGAAGTTTGTCAAGGGCCAATGGGACAAGGAGGATTGCATTTCAGATTGGCTGCAATACAAGGCCTCCCTCTCTCTCTCTGCGTTTCCAATCTTTACCCTCCTAAATTTTCACCTAAATCACAATTTATATGATTATTTTGCTGATACTATGTTTTGGTATTTGAGTTTTTATCTCCTGATTATTTTTTTCCGGACGTTGTATTAATTTTCCTTCGACTGGAAATTTTGGGTTTCTTCAGGTATAATGTTATCAACTTCTATTTTTTTAATTTTCTGATTTTGGGGTTTTTCAGGAAGTGATATATACTTATTTTTTGGGTTTTACATGTGTAATGTTATCAAATAATTTTTTTTTTTTAAATATTTGACTCAGGTATAATGTCATCAATTTTTTTTTTTAAATTTCTGATTCAGGTATAATGTCATCAAATTCTAGACGAGGTGCATCCAAACATCAGTTTGGTAAAGGTAAAGATTTTCCTAATCCTTTTGGTACATAATCGTATGAGAAAATTAGGATTTGAACATGTTAATTAGCTATGAATTAGTTTACATTAGAGAATATATGTGATTTTGGATTCGTGTTGGTGTAGCTAGGGACAATTATATTTGTGAATAGATGTTGGGTTGGAAGGTCTACTCATAAAGAAGAACAAATATAAGGGTAGAGTGAAACTGAAAAACAGCCAAACTCAAAATGTAATTTGCCAAAGAGCACGATTGGCCCTTTGTTTTAAAATTTTCATACTTCTCATTCTTATCTACCCTTATGTATCGGTAACATGTATTCGACTTTAGAACTTTATCCGAAACCATTTGGTGGGTGTTTGGAATTTTGGAATTAGATTTTCAATTTGTTTTGTGAATTCCTAACATTTAATCTCATTTGGGTCTAAGCCTTTAGCTATTTTTCTTATGAAATAGTTCATTGATTGCATATTGTTAATTTGATACATTCTGTTTGTGGTAGCTCCAATTTCTTGCTTTAAGAAAACCACTTGGTTGGTTTTAAGTTTTTTGTACTTTTCGTTGTCTTGTTTGCATAAAAACATGTTTTACAAGTTTGGGGACTGATCCGAAATCATTTGGTGGATGTTTTTAATCCCAAGTGGAGAAGACTCTTTTTGCTCTAAAGTTTGTTAGTTGACAGAGATTGCAAGTATAACATGGTGTTGTGTAGGATTTTGGTTGGTTTAGTTTGCAGAAGATGGGGGCTTTGGATGTAAAGAAGGTGGTGACAGACACCAGGGGTGGCTTCTCATCATTTGCAATTGGTTACATGGGGTGTTTTCTATTTGTTGGCTAATATGTTGAGCCTTTTAGTCATCGGATACTGGTTAGAGAAAGAGTTCAACTTTGGTATGTATTTGAAAATCAGTTTTTTTTAGTCTAATTATGTGGTATATATCTTCTGCAAATTCAGAGAACTTTGTGATTATAAGCGTTTTCATCATCCAAGGGAGTCAAGACTTATGATTCTTTGCACTACAACTTAGTCATGTTAGGCTTTTATTAGCATTGAGCCAAAACGATTTGGTGATGTAGGTTTTGCAACTTATCATGTCAGACTAATAATTTTTCCATTAATTTCTCATCTTTTTTTTTTTTTGGTTTACGAACTTAATTGTTTGATCCATGTTATTATACTATATTGAATGATAACATGTTAACAGTAGTTTTAAACTAACATGATCTTACCCCATTTTGAAAGCAAATTAAAGAAATAATGATGGACATGCATGTTAAAAATATTATGAATTTAAAGAGGTGAAACCCAACTCACAACTGCTACCTATTTAGTTGAACATAATTTTCCTCTGCTTGGTTGATGAGAAAATGTTGGGAAACAAAGGAGCACGATTTGAGTGCTATTGTTATGATGGATGCTTATTTTGACGAGCTTATTAGGTCTTGGATAATTTATGAATTTAAGATCTTCAATTTTAGTATTTAAAGAGTAATATGTGCTCTGTTTTTTTTTGTGTGCAGCGGTTAAAGAAGGGTGCGGGGAAACTTTAGAAAATATTAAGGAAGGTGAATTGATCATGGTATTTAAATTTTAACCATTCAATTTCTTAAAATTGGGTAAATGCTGGCATTTAATAGTACTTTGAAGATGGATTTTTGACTTTGAGTTTTGACTCTTTATTTTGCTTTTTTTTTTTTAAATTTAGTCTTTGGCAAGCCATAATACATGATAAACAAAAAAATTGGGTTTTAGTAAATATTGATTTTGTAAAATTCTTTATTTAAATTTCTAGGTTCTGATGAATTCCCATTTAGTGTTGGTGACAACCAATCGACTCACCACCAACTTTAGATCAAGATTCGAGCATGCCTTAAATGTGCAAGTCTTGTGAATTGCAGAAAGCTTGCATTAAGATTTAGCTCTTCAATCCGAAAGACCTTAAGATTGAAGGCTGAATTATTGTAAGTATGTCTTCTGTCACAGGTTTACCCATATTCTTATGTCCAATCATTTCTTAACACTACATTAGTAACCCCAATTATTATAGGGATTAACAGATTAAGATCTATTTAGATTCTATATACACATTTTATATCTGGAACTTAGGTTAGGTATTGTGTATATATCAAACATAATGCATGAAATAGAAAGAAAAAAATTTACGATTTTTTGTATGTGGATTGTATTTGTTAAATATTTTGTATATAAATTTTTTTTAACATTTTGAATGTAAATAGTATTAATCTTCTATCTTACGATCTTTCATATGTTTTGAATACAATCTTACATACAATTTTTAATAGCTACAAACTTATTTTAATTAATTAATTTTTTTTTGGAAATGTTTTGAGTTGAAAATTAATTAGGAGTTTAATAAGGATGTGAGTACAAAAAAACTAAATCAATTACTAATTTTTATTTAAAAAAATTGTGTAATTGACATGTAGTTCATTAAAATATTAATGCTAGGGACTTTAATCAAAATTTAAAAACTGATAAGGTCTTAGTAAAAAAACGATAGAAACTGAATACTAATTTTTCCTTAAAATAAAATGCTTTTAGTTGAGCTTAAGGGATTTTAGTTGGCTTGTTATTAGCCCTAAACCCTAGAAAAAGTAAAAGGAAAATACCATAATAATATAGTAGCGAGATTTGTTATGTTTTCATCATCGTCTACTCAATGTCCCTTGTCCTAGGACTTGGTTCTTGTTCTTAGTAGATGAGAGTAGTTACTGCATCATTTACTGCTAGGGTATGGCTGAACTAGTTTTCGCAGTTTGTATGGCAGACTCTTTCTTTCTCTCTCTCTCTCTCCAGATCTAGTGGTAGAGAGCATCGATCGAGTGCTTAGTTTTCTCTTTATGTTACAATCACTTACTGCTCATTTTCCTTTTCTCAATTCATCACTTTGGATAATTTTGTTTATGTTGCTCTTTTCTCTCTTTTTTAATATTTCACAGTTAATTCATTATCTGCTTAATTTGATTAGTTCCGGAAGAGAAAGATATATATATTTAGATCCTTCAAAAAGTTAGAGATAGAGAGAGATGGATAGATGGCAAAACATGAAAATTAATCGAAAATAAGGGAACCAACCGTCAAGCAATCCTTAACTGGATCAAGGAAGGTCATTTTGATGATTCATGTGGACCAGTCCAACTTGTTAAGGGAGAGGACTTTGTGGACCCGACATGGCCACCATTGCTCTATCTAATTACAGAGCAATAGATGATTCTGAAATCTGTAGAATCTATTTGCGTGGTCTCACTCCCCTAGGAAGACATTGTTAAATTCTCTATTAGAATACGAGTAAGTCTTCAATTTTTACCTTATCTAAGTTTGTAAATTTTTGGATTGATGTTGGAAGGGTTATTGATTTGTTTCTTTTGCATTTATTAAGATGGATGTGTCCCTTTTCACCTAGCAAAACAACATAGTTATAGTTGAGTCATCGATTGTTGACTCGGAGCAAGTCGAGAGAGCCGATATTATTGGTTTTGTTGTGAATTCTTCTTAATCGAAACTTAAAGAAAATGCTGAGTGGGTAGATTGTGTTTTTTTTTTAATTTAAGTTAATTTAATTTAGTTTTATAGAGAAGAATACTCTACGTTGTTTACGGAATCTGATTATTTGTCAAAAGAAGTTGAAATTCAATATTTTTTGGAAACTTATAAAAAGTTGCTATGTTAAGCAATGAACCTGAAATTGTATATGAGATGTTGCCTCATTTTGTACTCTTGTAGGTTTCTATACAGTCTTTTAGTAAAGATGGATGAGTTTGGGAAGACGAAAACATTTTTGTCATCTTCACCAAGCTAGATTGCTTGGTGACTCACTTGAGAATGGTTTTGACTTCATTTTTTATGGATTGATTGTAAGGGTCGCGTGTTTAACTATTTTGACTTTTTGTATACCACAATCATTATTTAATTAACAATATTTTTAAACACAAATATGAAGTCGATCTAATTAACAAAGAAAAACAAAAATAATTAAACACGCAATCCTTACGGTCGATCCATAAAAAATGAAGTTAAAACCATTCTCGAGTGAGTCACTAGGCAATCTAGCTTGCTGAAGATGACAAGAATGCTTGTTTTCGTCTTCCCAAACTCACTCATCTTTGCTAAAAGACTATATAGAAACCTACAGGGTGGAAATGAGGCAACATTTCAGATACAATTTGAGGTTCATTGTTTAACAGAGCAACTTTTTATAAGTTTTCAAAACAAATTGAATTTCAACTTCTTTGGACATTCCGTAAATGAAACAGAGTATTCTTCTCTACAGAACAAAATTAAATCAATTTAAATTAAAAAAAAAACACAATCTACCTACCCAGCATTTTCTTTAAGCTTTGGTTCAGAAGAATCCATGACAAAACTAATAATAACAACTTGCTCCAAGTCAACAATCGATAACTCAACTATGCCTATGTTGTTTCGCTCGGTGAAAAGGGACATCTCCATCTTAATTTTTTAAATGCAAAAGAAACAAACAACCCTTCCAGCAATCAATCCAAAAATTTACAAACTTAGATAAGTTAAAAATTGAAGGCATACTAGTATTCTAATAGAGGATTTACCAGTGCCTTGCATGCCAATAACAAATAGGTGAGTGCGACCACGCATACGGGTTCTACAGATTTTAGAATCATCTAGGGCTCTGTAATTAGATCGAGCAATGGCGGCTAAAACGACTCATAGTGCTCGTTGATCCTCCTTAGCAAGGTACTTGGTTTGCAGGGTGTCGTGAATATGTCTTCGGATGAAGATCATAGCAGTGGCTTTCTCAGCTTCGCTAACTAGGTTGTCCGTCTCATCTTCAATAACAGGACGTAAATTCTTTGCAGTGAGGTGGAGCTTCACATCTTCGACCTACTTGAGGTAGTTTCTTCCAGATACCTCCAAAGCGATAAAGTCGAGTTTGTTCAAATTCGACATATTCTTATCACAAAAGATATAGACAAGATGTGGTTAGTGTAATGGAGAAAAAATCAATCAATTTACATAGGAATAGAACATTCAGGCTCTAAAGACATGTATTGGTTTAAATTTGGAAGAAAAAACTTCATATTTTCATGGGTGATGTTTTTAAGGAAAACTTCAGGTTTTCAAACAAGACATGTTTTTAGAAACTTCAATTTTCGAAATAATTATGAACTGCAGGTTCATATATTCTTGCAGACACACAAATATATATACAAAAATATGCACCAAGCAAAGATGCAAATAGAACTTCAGGTATATAATTATAATTGAATTAATTATTTGGGCTTTAAGCCAAAATTAAAGTGTGGGTGAAAAAAGTATAGAACTCAAATTGTCTAAAAAAAATAAACAATGAAGCTTGGGACCCAAAAACATGGGCTGCCCACGGGTAGGCTAAGCAAATTGAAGTCGTGTGTTGAGTACATAAAGTTATATTTATATGCCCTCTTTTACTTAGGTTTTTTACTTAAAATCTCTATGCATCACAAGATATTTTGTTGTTTGTATTGTATTTCAGGATAAAAGTAAGGCTTGAAGAAATCATCTTATTTTGAATATTTTAAGAGCCTATAATGGATAGTTCGAAGCCCAACTCGTCCAAGATCAGATCATAGCCCACAAGTAACCTAAGATCTGCTAGAAAATGCCCTTGCAGAACGGTCAACTTGCGAGCTTTGCCCCGAAGTGCTCAGAACGAATTAGAAAATTGGCCGTATATGGTTGGAAAGCCTTAAAAGTCTTCTTTCTGATAGGCTTTACAACTTGTGATTTAGAGGTTTCGACAAGAAGTTATGACAGTCAAGAGGAGCTGTGCAGTTACAAATTCTAATAACAGCTAGTTTTCTGTTACTCCTATATTAAAAGCTGATTGTAATGAGCTATAACTGACAGTCAATTTAAGGATGTAAATGTGTCAGATGTTAGAAAAAGCCTAAGCCTTTTAATAGGAGAAAAATACACAGAATCAGAAGGAAAAAGAAGAGAAAAAAAAAACAGAAAAAACACATAATTTGGAGAGAGCATGAGTCTTCAACCTTGAACAGTTTCTAGGTTCTAGCATTCTTAACTTTTTATGTATTTTGTTATGTTTTAATTTAGTTTATGGATACTTAGGGCTGCTTTGAAGCAGTAGACATAATTGAATTAATGTTATGATGCAGCTTTAGTTTATTAATTTCATTTCCAAGCTAGAATCAGTTTTCTATTTCAATCATTTCGAGCACATATTTTCAAGCTTAGCTACCTTGTTTATGTTTGTTTTCTGTTGGGAATGTTAATGATGACTACCATATCTTCTTTCATTCATTAGCAACATGTGGTTAGGTTCAGAACTAATCATGTAAATTGATTCTATAAAGTTCTAGGATAAATGCCATGTTCCAGGGTTCATGTGATGTTCATAATCCTCTTCGTTCTTAATGAGTTTCTAGGTGCTAAATCTGAGTATATGCCATGCTAAGTTACACCTATAAATATAAGTTTTATGTATATGTCATGCATCTAACATGCAAAGTAAGAGAGGATTCATACAATCCAGTTATATGCCGTGCTAGATATGTGAACATCTTAGTTGTGCATTTGAAAGTGATAAGTTAAAAGATCATATCACTGATTCAGAAATGTTTAGGGGAAGACCTTTATTTATTTGAAGTTAGATTTAAGTCCTAAAAACGATTCTAACCTATTTCATGTCTTAGGTTTATTTTAAGATGGTTCTAATTTTCCCTTTTTCTTTGTCTTTATTTCTTTTTCAAAATTACTCAAATCCTCTATTTTAAGTCATAAGGAGTCTTTAACTAATGCTAATTTGCAAAAGTCAAAGGTTTTACTAAGTTGTTTCTCAGTCTTTGTGGTTTGACACCCTTACTTATGCCGTTATATTATCCTTATATTTGCACTCGAAAGGAACATCAACATTGTGCAGCCCAGGCCCAAGAATGGGCTGGAATAGGCTCGGGCATAGCATGCAAGTAGGCCCAGCATCATAAAATTATTGGGCTGTTGGCGCAAGCCCAAAGTAAAGGCCCGATAAGGGCTCTAATCTAGTGTGATGCTTACACGGGGGGACACAAAAACTGATCTGGTTGGTGTTTCGCAGGCTGGGTAGTAAAGGCAAACAACAAGCCCAAAAAGGTGATGTGTGATGCTCAGCAATCCTCGAATCAGCACTAGCAACCCTCAGATCGAAAGTTCATGGAGCCTTGAGAAAATTGATTGAGCAAAAGAAAAGTATATTCTTTCTCAAAATTTTATGTTTATGGTTGAGGGCAATGATCTATGTCAGGTTAGATAGTTGATTTGCAATCCTTGGTGCAAAGTCATCGCACTTTGCCGCATATACAACTCTGTTATACTTTATACTTTCGTTAACTCAAAATGTATAAACTTGAAGAAATAACCTCCCAGTTTTTCCATTGGATGATTACAATTATTTGCATTTTGGTAATGCTTCTTCAAGGCATAAGTTATTGGGGATAAGTTTCTTTCACATTTTCTCAAATGTCTAGTTTTCTTGCCTTATCTGTTGGGGGTAGTTTTTTAGCAGGAGATTCTTGGTTGTCCTCCAACGATACATTCATCTCCTTCTATTGGATATGGGCCATGGTAGTAAAAAAAGGTGATGTGTGATGTTGGTCCGAGGGTTTGAGGCCCACTAAGGCTCGGGTCTGGAAAACCCAGGGCACCCCAGCGGTGCTAGGTGTTGGATTTTGAACCAGAAAACTATGTGGTGTTGCTTCAGGCGACTTCCCTCGGTCGTCCACGGCACGATGATGCACGGGGGTTCAATTAGATCCTAAATTTTGGACAGAAACCTAAGTTTCGACGTCCCGGGATGGGGGGTCTGAGAAACCTTAAGGATTCAAAGAATCCGTCAAAAAATTCACTGATGTTCATCGGTTTGTCTGAGAAACCAATCATCTTTGACGAAGGTTGAGTCCCAAAAAGCACGATTTCAAGTTGTGGATGTCCTAGTAAAACGATGGTGAGACCATGGACTACGGGCGGCACTAGGTGGTGGCTTCGTTGCCAAAATGGTGTCATCTCAGATGGAGCATGGGTTCGGCTCTAGTGCATCGTGGCCCAAAGAAAACTCGTGTGAGCTTGGGTATGCGTCACAAGTCATGGGTTCGAAGAACCCTAAGAGTTTTCCATTTTTTTCTTCTTTTTTTTTTCAATTAATTCAAAGCATATATAATTTTAATGAATGAACATATATTTGATGCAATTCATGGCAAATATCAAATTCACATAATTCAACAATTATGAATATAATGCATACACAATTTATGTAGAATTTAAAATTCGAAAAACGTAAAGTTGGGTCATGCATTATGATGAATGTTCATGTTATTAGGGATGCAAAAATATCGAGATAAAAATCATTGTTTTGGAAGAACCTGATTGCGTGATGATATGGATGAACTGGTTTAATGTAGAAAAGCTTCCTCGTCATATTCTTAAGCACATATGTAGGAGCGTGCTGATAATATGTTATGGCCTATATTTAATTAACAGGGAAAAAGGGCCGGTGGCACAAAGAGATAATGGAGAGATATGTGTTTGTAGGGATGTGTAGAGGAATGTGTATTATTCCCCCACATAATGCCTTTATTTATAGTAATAAAGAAGAGAATAATGTAGGCAAATAAATTTCGTTGCATACAAATTATGCATCACAAAGCTCCACATGACATATGACTCAATACAAATTGACAAGTCATCAATGACATGTGGCACAAATCAAGCAAAAGAAGTAGAAAACTTCCCCTAAAAACTCAGCAAAACAAGGGAGAATTCCTTTTAAATTCGGCAAGGGATCAAAATACTCTCAAAACCGGAAAGAAAGTTAAGGCATCTTCATAAAACAAGCAAGAATTGAAGATTGTTCACAAAATAGGCAACAAGGCCTTATAATTTCGGCCAAGGGAGTAAAGTGGCTGAAATTAAGACACAAAACATCCCTAAATTCTCAAGACATAAATCAAAGCCAAATCAACCCAAAGGCAAGCCTTGAGAAGCTTACAAATACAAGGTCCTCTCACAAGCATAAGGGTCGAAAAATCTCTACATAGAAGAACCTCAACCAAACCTTTGAAGACTAATGCGCTGCCAAAACTCTCTTCGAAGAACATTCAACCAAAGCCGAAGCACTTCCTTGAAGAATCAATAAGCGGTCGTGCCGATTCCTTTAAGACTTTGTTGCAAGCTTATAAACTTGTAGCAACGTTTGTTTCAAGATCAAGTCGCCAATGCCCTTGAAGCAACGAAATCCCGCATCAAACATTACCCTTTGTCGCACCCTTAAGGTGAAGATCATCCATGCGTTGTTTTCAAGCTCAAAACTTGAAGTAATTGTTCAACCGTTCGTCAGAGATCAAGTCATCGCGACCATTGGATCAACAATCACGTTTCTACATCAAATTTGAAGACTGAATCAGAGGAAAATTGTAAACAAAGATTGTAACCTACACATTCAAATCAATACAAATCTACTTTGAACACGTGTTTTCGTTTCATTGGATACATAATTTTTGTGTTTACAAATTTGGCACACCCAGTGGGACATCTCTGCCTCTCATCTTTGTCTTCAAAATCCGTAAAAAAACAAATGGCACCAAGAAATGATCAAACTATTCCCGCTACCAACGCTAAGAACAAGTACAAAAACACCTTGAGAGAGCTGGAGCAGAAGACCTACCATTTTCCAGACTCTGACATGGTCGCAATGCTAGAGGACATGTTGGAGAAAAAGGTGATCAAGCTACCTGAGTGCAAATGCCCCGAAGAGATGAATCGCGTTAACGATCCTAGGTATTGCAAATATCATCATATCGTAAGTCATTCTGTTGGCAAGTTCTTCGTCCTCAATGAGCTTATCATAAAGTTGGCACAACAAGGGTAAATTGAACTCGACCTTGAAGACACAGTCGCAACAGACACTACTACAATTGTGTTTGGATCATTCAATCACATGCCTCTCCAAGTAACGCATGCTCATTCTCATCTATACCCAAGCCACACGACACCTTCTACACAACCATCGATGGGGGCAAGTGACCAAAATACACTTACCGACGATGAAGAGGGGTGGACATTGGTGACCTACAAAAAGACAAGGAAGCCAAGACCACAAGCCGCAAAGCTAAAGGTGGAATAGGCGAAAAGCACCGTTGCTGCAACAATAGGAAGCCCAAGAGAAACGTAAGAGTTGCTAAGCCAACTTACGATGGGGAACATATGGAACAAGAGTCGCGCATTCCCGTCTCCTTGCACAAGTACTTCCGAAATGATTTCTTCCAACGGTGCACTACCGTTGCCTGTCATATGGTTGAAGTAGAGATAAAAAAGCCTTCAAAAGGTAAAGCTATCGCCGTCAAAGAAAAGAAAACTCCTATGATGAAGCAAGCCTGGCGTTATACTTTAGCATTGATGAGACGCTGCAATTGCCCAAAGAGATGGAATAGCACTAATAGCGGTCTTGGCGAGTCCCGACGTCCACAAAGCATGCCATTTGACAGCGGTTGGATTCAATAATTTGTACAAAAAGCATGCCATTTGATCTCTGGTCTTGCATTCTATGATAGGCTCATAAAGAGAAAGAAGAACCCTAACTTTAATTAAGATAGTTTAGGCATACTGGAGCTTGATACACAACATATACTAAACATAAATGACTGCCCGGAAACATGAAGGCTATCCTAATAGTTGGGAAATAAATCTGAAATGTCATTTTCGGAACCTTGTTTTCGGATTATACCACAATGCATCACACAAATGTATATAATTTAGTCACATGCTCATTATTAATAAAAAAAATTTAAAAATTAAAAAAAAATTAAAAAAAAAACAATGTAATGAGAACATAGGAATGTAAGGAGAAAACTAGTTATGAAATGGTCATACGGAAACAGTCCTTAACCTTCTTCTCTATTTTTTTTCCCTAACTCTTCCGTCTTCTTTTCCAATTTTTTTTTATCGTTTTTTAATTGGTTTCTCACTATAAAAACAGTAATTTTCAGCACGCATAGACATCTTATTTAGATTTTTTTTTAACACAGTTTTTTGTTTAATTATGGTTTTTTTTACTAATTTGCCTCAATTTTTTTTTTATTGTGAAAGAAATGAAGGGGCATTTTTGAGAATTCAGAATGCTTTCCCACATTTTTTTTAAAAGGAAAACTAATGA